AGGAGATAGCACGTTCGAGTCCCACTGCAGTCAGCATGTCGTTGTGTCCCTGAGACACTTCACCCCAAATTGCTCCTGTGGGGATTGTCCACAGTATTGAATGTCTGTAAGTCGCTTTGGATAAAAGTGTCTAACAAGTAATGTGTGTGTGCAGAGCCTGGGTCTGGCCCACTTCGTGTGGATCACCCCCCTGCAGTGCATCCTGTGTGTGGGGCTGCTCTGGGAGCTGATCGAGGTGAACGGCTTCTGTGCGCTGGCCACTCTAACTCTGCTGGGCATCATCCAGGCCTGGCTCTCCCAGAAGATGGGACCGCACCGGTGAGAAAACACACACACACACACACACACACACACACACACACACACACACACACACACACACACACACACACACACACACACACACACACTGTATCTAAGAAGGTGTTAGATATTATTCAATACACCAATGCATATACTGTTATTTAAAAGTTATATTTTACAGTACAATGTTACTTATTATGTTAATATAGAGATATTTTATTTTATTGTTTTGTTGCACATGCTTACTTTTTAACAAATTATTTTTATTTTAAATTGTATTTCATTCAAATCAGCTGCAACAAAACACAATTCCCCACGAGACACATAGTATTCTATTTGCGATGTTGTTGTTTATTGTTGTTTGTCTGCATGCATTGGACTTTGACTTGTTGATGTTAAACTGTGTGAGCAGGGCGGAGCGAGGCGGACTGATCAGCCGCCGCCTGGCTCTCACAACGGAGATCGTGGAGAACATCCACTCTGTGAAGGCGTACGGCTGGGAGGAGGTGATGGAGACCATCATCAAGAACATCCGGCAGTAAGACACCAACACAACAACAACAACAACAACAACAGTTTCACAAAACAAACATCTTCTACAGCTGTTTTCTCTTCTTTCTTCTTTGCAATCAGAGTTGTGATAGTTGCTTCATTTAAGATGAAATATGAGGATAAAATAAAGATATTTATTTAAATATAAGAATTTAAAGTAAAATAACCAATAAAATAATAAAAATACATTTATATAAACACCAGAAAAAAGAGCAAATTGTCCAATAAGATATAAAAAGAGATTACAAATATATATTAACATAAGAATTTAATTAATAACGTGCATCAAAATTTTAAAAGATAACAATAAATACAGATTTTCTAAAATATGATCTTAAATATATATATATCTTAAAGATATATAAAAATAGAGGAACGTTATTGATAAAAACAGGAAATTAAGTCAGATTTTGTTTGCCAAATATTGCACTTACCACAATTTCTCAAAATCATGACTTTTTCTCAAAATCTCAAAAATCCTGACTTTTTTTTCTCCAAATTATGACTTTTTCTCAAAATCATGACTTTTTCTCCAAATTATGACTTTTTCTAAAAATCTGAAAATTATGACTTTTTCTAAAAATCTGAAAATTATGACATTTTCTTAAAATTATGACTTTCTCAAAATTATGACTTTCTCTCAAAATGTCATTCCAAAATGTGATAACTATATAATATGTATTAATAATGCATCCTTATACTATATATGTTGATGATACAGATGTTTATGAACATATACTGTAATGAATTTAACTTAAAAGAAACAAGAGAAAGAGACTCGGTCGTTATTAAACTCAAAAGGCTTCGTAGAAATTGAATCAACCTGCTGCTATAATAAAGAGATGTTAAAGGGGACCTATCATGCAAAATGCACTTTGTGATGTCTTTTATACATCAAGATGCGTCCCCGGTGTGTCGGGGAACTCAGGCAGCGTCAGAAAATAAAACCCTCTCTCTTTTCCTCCGTACCCAAATCTCTAAAAACGGGGGAACAACGGAGCTGATCCAGATTTGATGCCCATATGATGTAATTTCGGATAGTGGACCCACAGAAAGTTGCTATCAGAAACAATGCCCGACGTGTTTTGGATGTAATCTCGTCTTTGTTTACATTAGCAAGCCTCGGTAACACTCAGAGCTAACCTGTGAGAGCACATGTGTTTTTAAAAAGCAGGAAATAAAAAAAGGAACTCACCTTGTGATAAACCCGCAAGAGAAAAAGCATTTGAGCTCCATACTGTTTCAGAAACAATCCTTGATGTAGTTTAGAACAGGATGGCGTTTTATCACAGCAGAATTTAACTTTATCTCCGGTAGAATTCTGATCAGGCATTAGCTCCGCCTCCTCTTTTTTTTGTGTGTGTGAAAATCAGCGTTTCTCTAACAGGGCTGGAACAGAGGGGTATGAGGGATTTCTATGGGAGGGAAAATGCACCATCTGTTTGTATTTTGAGCAAAACACATCATAGACATGTTTTTATATATTGTTATATATCTGAGACCCTTAATATATGCCTAAAAATATAGCATGATAGGTGCACTTTAAAACATGTGGCTAATCCTCAGAACCTCACTGGCTTCAGATCCAGAATCAGGGTCACTTTATTTGAGAACACTAAACGCAGAGGACAGAGTTTTGGTGTTGTGGTGCAGAAACATGTTTGATAACTAAAGAGCTAACACTGAGCCACCAGGACTTCACACGGACCCGATAATAGCATCATAAAAAAGTGACATGCTGTTAACGCGGCTCATCCAATGCTGGTCGTTCTCTGAAAGCACCAGACATTCACTGGAGCTGTTAAGCGTGTGCGAAGTAGCTGGAATCCAAAATGTTATATTAAAAACAATGTTTTTTTTTTTATACAAATTACATTCAGATTGAGAATGCGTCATTTATCCTCGGGGGGATATTTAAAGGTCACCTATCATGCTATGTTTAGGCAATAGCATAGGTCTCAGATATATACAAATATATAAAAAACATGTCTATGAAGTGTTTTGCTCAAAATACTAAACAGATCACCCATTCTAGCCATGCCTCATATCCCTCTATTTCACTTCCTGTTTCTAAAGTGCTGATTTGGGGGATAAAGTTAAAAAAAAAAAAGAATTGATAAAAATCAAAAAGGAGGGGTCTGAGCTCATGCGGGACCCGGCAGCTGCTGTCTAAACTAAATACTGCTGTGATGGAACGCCATATCATGGATTATCAAGAAGTATTTCTGAAACAGTATGGAGCTCAAAGGCTTTCTNNNGATAGCCCCGCAAGTCAGCGGCAAGCTAACTTCCGGGGAACTATTTAGAGCTCCACGATCCGCCATTGCTGTAAAAAAACTGGTCCATTGGAGTGAACGGAGATGTCGTAACTCTTCTATTTATATGGCGCTGATCACGGGGCTTGTCAAACAGAGCACATGGTGTAGTCCTAAACGATAGCTGGGGATTCTGGGTAGTGTAGTGTCTTCTGCCATCCTTTACTCCGAAAAAATATTTGTTTCTCTGAATCGAAGGGGAAAAATACAAAAGCATTGCACACAATTTAAACCAATCAATGTGTAATTAACAAGGATAATCTGGTGTTTTTTAGTCGATGAGTAGTGCAGATATCACTGGAAAATCAATCGACAGTAAGGGGAATACTTACTTCCGGGTGTACAATTCTCCGTTATCCAATGGGAATGGACTCACATTGCCTTTAAGGGCAGCCGACACAAACGAATGCCGTACTTCCATCAATCAATCAATCAATCAATGTTTATTTATATAGCCCAATATCACAAATGTTACATTTGTCTCAGTGGACTTCACAGTTTGTACAGAATATCAATATGACAATACGACACCCTCTGTCCTTAGACCCTCGCATCGTACAAGGAAAAACTTCCGGAGAAAACCCCACAGTTTAAAGGGAAAAATGGGAGAAACCTCGGAGAGCAACAGAGGAGGGATCCCTCTCCCAGGACGGACAGACGTGCAATAGATGCCGTGTGTAAATTCAAAAGATAATACATTTGCAACATAGTCCAAATGTTTGGAAATGCATGTGTGTATAATAGGAAGATGAATCCACGAGGATATCCATCCAGGACTTATGATCCAGGACCACAGCCAGGANGGTCCTACAAACCTGGTTCTCTTTTTAGCAGGCTAGATCTCCATGGTAACCTTAGCCTGCAACCTAACCTGCTCCGTGGCAGGTTAGCCGCACAGCATAAGTTACCATGGAGATCTAGCCTGCTAAAAAGAGAACCAGGTTTGTAGGACCGGAAACCCCGACTTTTCCCTGAAGTTAGCCGGCTAAGCGAAAATCTTGCTTCGTAGTATACCCGCCTGGTTAGACTACATTACATTTACGTTTTTTTCCAAAGCGACTTAAACTAAGTATTACTATTGGGGAATCTTACGTTGTGTGATGTTTGTGCCGGAGCCGCTTCATCCAAAAACAGCACTCCGGTTAGAGAGTAGACGCGGAGACAGGAAATACAGTCTTTGGACTTTATTTCAGCTTGAATGCTTCTTACAACAGCTGGAGCAGTATTGAATGATGAATGAATGTAGAATGATTGAATGGTTTCTGCAAAATACACAGAAATAGAAATAAGGTTCACATTACAATAACTAACTAGACTCTGGTTATTAATAATACGCAACAGCCATTCTAATTGAGGCTAAAACACATTAGACACGTTGCAAACACACACATGGCTAATCAAGGCTAAGTTAGCATCTCATCCACACACTATCACTGAATAGCTTAACTTAGCTAACTAGCTAGCGGTATCATTAGCTCCATTTCTGAACAGCATAACAGATAAAAACGGGACATCAATAGACTAATTAACACACTGACTCAGCAGGACACTATGATCTATAATTATAATTATAATTATTATAACTATAATCTCATAACATTACCAACACTAAAGATCTGCATATATGCTCACATTCTTCACGAACGCATTCTCTCTTTGACGGTAATTATGTAGGTGACGATGCGACCGCAATAATGTCCTGTCATCAAACGCACATGGGTAAACAGCTCGAGGACAGACCCACTCGCATGAGTCCGGGGCCTAGGGAACGCTCCATTTTTTTCGACTAGGCAGCAAGGTGTGGTCTGCCTTCGGCGTAACAAGGAGGAGTTAGACTCCAAGCCTGTTGCCGTGCTGGGGAGGAAACTCATGGAATCTCATTTGAAAGGGCCCCTCCGCTTTCATTACACTACGGAGACATTAACCGTGTGTGGGAGACTAGGGGAAAAATTTCTCCCCTGGTGGTGGGGACCCAGACGGTGAGGAAGCACCATGACAGGCTGAAGGTGCGTTGCAACTACTCTGCACGTTTGGTACGTCAGGTAGTTTGTGGGTCTCGAAGGTCGTAAACCGACCCGCCTTAGAGCTAGGTGGGGCCCGAAAGAGTACATTAATAGTCTTATAAATATTAAATGATGAGAATTTGCTAGTCACTGCAGCTCGCCTAATTTAGGCCAAGGCCCAGACCCAACTCTATTATTTGATTTTAAACAAGTATGTTATTTAGTGTCATTAGTTTGTATAACAGAAAAATTAACCGTAACAGGAACGTTTAGCGTTTGGAGTAGACGAACTTACCTTATATTCATGTTACTAATTAAGTACATCATATACTTTGACAAGCCTTATTATACGTCGTAATTGGTGTAATGCGAACGTCGGATGATCGGCATATCATATATCATATTCTATACACCGTAAAGACACTACGGTATATACGTTTTTCTGTCTATATACTCGATATATCTCCGAATACATCCTCTCTATACTTGTGAATACTGCAGTGTACTCTAATACGTTTATAAACTTGGACTAAACCGTATATACACCTTTATACACTTGGTATGATGAGAGATAACTTAGGTTATAACGTGTATATACTTTGGACTTATACCCGTATATACTCGTATATAAGACGTATAACGGTAACCGTATTATACAGCATATAAAGGAAA